AAAGAGGCCAATAGAAGCTGTCAATTAAAATAGCTTCTCTTTGATTACTTGTAAACTTGTAATTCGAAAAAAAACTTGTTAACAATCAAAACTTAAACTTAAACTTAAACTTAAACTTAAACTTAAACTTAAACTTAAACTTCGATAGAAATGTCGTCTTCATTATATTAATATGACCACCTGCCGCTAAATCGTATAATATATATTTTTGAATAAATAAACTGACGAGTGACCACTCTTTATAATGTGGTTTGAAACCATTATGATTATAGGTATTATTTCTTTAAACTTTTTTATTTTTTATATTCATTTTTTTAATATAGGGTAGAATTGGGAAACTGGTTTATAGATCACGGGTCTACTGACCTCCTACTCCCTCCATACCCTCCGTAAGTTTTTCGTATCAAAATAAAATTACCAAATATAAAAAACTTAAAGGTCCAAGAGTTCAACGTGAAAGAGAAAACCATCCACCATATCCCAAAGAATTATCTTTTGCCATAAACTCAAATTTTATAATCCCTATAGCTTTGAAGGATGATGGTGTAAACCTTTGATATATCAAAGTTTGAATTCATAGTTTAAAAAAGCTAATTTGATTAACATTTCGTTGCAAAGATATATCGGGATTACAAAATTTGAGATTTAATTTATAATATGTAAAATGTTTTAAGGTACAGCGCACGAACTAATTCCTTAGTTCCACTCTTATTAGAATTTGATGTGCTGGTTTGGTTTCTTTCTTTGTCAAAATGTTTTTAAAATTGTTTTTTTAACATTTTTTAAATTTACACTATGCCAAATTTTGACCCTGATAGAAAATATCTGCAAAAAGGATGCAAAATTTAACGTGTCATAACAATCTCGTTTTTACATTGTTTGTTTTGTTTTTAGGATAAGAATATTGCAAAGTTTAGCAAAAGCAAACTTTAACATACTTTACAGTTTTCAAAGCTTGGAAGTTTTAAAAAGTTTGTTTAAAATGAATTAAAACGAATAGCAACACAAGACTGAAAGGGAGCTTTGATTTTATTTCAAGCGACCCTCCTTATAGAGAGTTAAATACCCGATTCACACTAGTACAGTGCGATGATAGTTTTTTCAAAAGAAAAACAGAAAACATGCAATCCCCATGTCTGATCAATCTGCAATAAATCACTTCAAATTTACATTGAAAATTAGCAATTTATAAAAATAACATTTCCATCAGTTTTGCTTCGACAATTAACTTCAGATTTTAAAATAAAAGATCGCTTAAAATTACGTCAACGTTTCCTTTAAATAATATTATTTTAGGTTGGTCCGACCTGTGGTTCAGGATCCGTATAGGTCTGGTTGTCAAATAATATCATTTTAGGTTGGTCCGACCT